TAATGGTCAGAGGCCAGTGAGGTGGGCTGACTCTGAGTTTGATTCAAGGCCCGTACAATAGAAGGAGCAGGCTGATGCCTGCAAGTTGTCCTCTGTGTGTCTGTGCGCACGCGCACCCCTCCCCCAAACCTTTTAAACCTCAAGGCCAGTATGACTAATATGAGTCATATTCCATTCTTATGACATAGTGAGTTTCATATTCTGACACTGTTAAAGCTTGCCATTTGAGGAGGCCAATGCCTTATCCATTAGGCTACTGGGGCTCTAAAGCTTGCCATTTGAAAATGAAATTTGCTAATAAGTAAAATGTAGTGTAGAGACATAAAATCCTGAAGAAGGAGATTATGAATGTGAAGGACTAGCTCTGACTAGTATAGCCAGATGACTTTTACTCTGGATGATCTTGTTATATGCCTTTGGAGAAGGAAGAAAACATTTTTTTCTTTTTTAAAAAGATTTATTTATTTATTATGTATACAGTATTCTGTCTGCATATAAGACTGCAGGCCAGAGGAGGGCACCAGATCTCATTACAGATGGTTGTGAGCCACCATGTGGTTGTTGGGAATTGAAATCAGGACCTGTAGAAGGAAAGTCACTGCTCTTAACCTCTGAGCCATCTCTCCAGCCTCCCCCCCCCCCTTTTTTTTTTTTTTTTTTTTTTTGGTTTTTCAAAACAGAGTTTCTCCATGTAGCCCTGGCTCTCATTTTGTAGACCAGGCTAGCCTTGAACTCAGAGATCCACCTACCTCTGCCTCCTGAGTGCTGGGATTAAAGGTGTGAGCCACCACCACCACCTGGCAGGAAGAACATCTTTAAAGTCCTTTTCCCACCCTCAGTTGTAAGCAAAAGGTCTCATAATTGGCGAGGATTTAAACCAGTGGTTCTCAGCCTTCCTAATGCTGCAACCCCTTAATACAGTTCCTCATGTTGTGGGGACCCCCAACCATACAATTATTTCCTAGCTACTTCATAACTGTAATTTTTCTACTGTTATGATTGTAATGCAGATATCTAATATACAGAATATCTGATGCGATCCCTGCAAAAGGATCTTTCAGCCCCAAAGGGGTTGCGCTCCATAGGTTGAGAACCATCAATTTAAATCATCTCTGAGTTTGAATGGCTTAAACATTGATGTCAGTTAATGTTGGAAGGGGTCCTAAAGTTCTTAGTCATTAGATTAAAATATGAACGGATAATTTTAGTAGTGTGTACATACAATTCGAAAAGCCATGTGTGTCTTTTGACAAGAACCCTTTCTCATGGAGGAGTGTGATTGATCCTGGAGTGGAGTCTCTCCATTAAAGAAGCAGAGTCTAGGCCTTTCCTTGATACTACTGCTAAGAGAGCCTTCCTCACTCCTAAGGCCCTCCCTCCTGCTCTCTGCGTGCGTGCGTGCATGTGTAATACATATATAAATAAGTATATGTGGTGCTAGCTAGAAACAAAGTTGTCTCAAAATAAAAATACATAATAAACCACGGGAGTAGGGACACAGAATAACTAGGGAATTCCGTTAGATACCAAACAGGTGGTTTTGTTTTTGTTTTTGTTTTTTTCTCTGTAAAATCTTAATGTAACACTATTGAACAATGGCTATTTAGATTACTGCTAATGTGTCCTCTTGGTAAGTGGAGAGCTTGACTGCTTGGTCTTTATAATCCACTGTCTGGGCTGAAGTAGCAGTGACAGGGAGCTAAAGCACCTAGGGCTGCTGCTGTGAGTGATTCCAGCCTTGGGGGCCTCGGGACATTCCAGCCAACAATGAATCCCCAGCCAAACTACAAAATGCTTTCTCCTATGTCCTAGGAGTTAAACATTAGCCACCAGCCCCTTCTGCTGTAATGGTGACCAAATGTTGAGTATGGGGGGCGGGGCGCAAAGCAAAAATAGTTTTTGGTACTAATAGCAAGTAAGACAGCTAATCTTTAGGGTAAATGTCTCAAACTATTGGATCACAATTTTAAAAGATCCTCAAAGGGTATAAACAGGAATAAGTCAAGTTGGGACTGAAGAGATGGCACAGTGGTTAAGAGGCCTGGCTGCTCTTCCAGAGGACCCGGGTTCAATTCCCGTCACCCAAATGGCTGCTCACAACCATCTATAATGGGGTCTGGTGCTCGCTTCTGGCATGCAGGCATACATGCAGATACAGTACTCATACATAAAATACATAAATAAAATAAAAAGAATAAGTCAAGTGTATGCCGAGAAAGATAGATTGGCAGAATTCATCTTCCGCTCCTCGCATGCCTGCACTTGGCCTTGGAGTGCTCACCTCTCTGTGGTACCTAGTCAGTGGATGATCTGAAAGCCAAAGATGGACAAGTACATTTTTAGCAAAGCTTTTCGTTTGTTTGTTTAAAGAATGAAGTGTTGAGTTGTGAGGGCTATTTGATATGGGTAGCAGGCAGCTATCTGTCAGTGATAGGTGCAGAATCCACGGTACCCCAGACTCCAGGGTTAGACAGTGGGGTTATAGCAGGGAATGAAAGAGGCAAGTTCATTTGGATACATTGACATTCCATTTATGAATTGAAAAACCAATAGATGCTTTTTGTAGCAAGGTAGATTTTACTCTGTCCCTGTAAACAAAAATTTGAGTTCCACTGCCTAACAAAGGAGATGAAAATTAAATTTAGCATGTTTGAAAATTTGATATTTCTACTTGAACTTACAAATAAGCTAGATTGGTTTTAGTGTGTTTGCTCATAAAATAGTGGTGGTGTCTGTTTCATTTCTATAGTTCTACCTTGAATGAAGACCTGAATGAAGATAACATGATGATGTCCAGTGCTGAAAATAATGAACTAGAACTCGTAACTGCCCATAAAGGGCTTTTTATAGTCAGGGATTACATCCGCTTCACCGTAGGCAACGTAGACCAGAGTTGTGCCTAATGAGACATTTCCTTCCAGTTGCTGGGCTGCAGAAGCCATTGAATGCCATGGCTTTTGGCACTCAGATCTTATTTTTATCAACCTATGTGAAAAGAAGAAAGTCTGGTATTATTGTCCTATTTGGTATATATAATACTTAGCATCATTTTCTTTTGCATATTTTGAATCCTATTTTAAGAGGGTTTGTGTATTTCCTTTTTATACAGTGTTAACTTACATTGTTATTATGTGACTTGGAGGAACTGAAAAAATTTAAACTTGACTAGCCAGAAATCAACTTTTATTCTCACTGTCTGTTCAGGAAGCTGTGACACCCACTTCCATTCTCCTGCCAAATGTGTCCCTTCTATGTGTTGGGCGCATAGTCTTGAAGCATTGTTGACCATGTTGGCAATTTGCCCAGAACCCAAATACCCTGTATAATTTGCATACTAATTATCATTGATTTGCATGCAGTTATAGGCTGAACTGTCTCCCTGAGTTTAAAGTAAAAAGATACTCTAAAGATGAAAGCCGTTTACCCTTTACTACTTCTCTTTTCTAGGTTGAGGAAGGGATCGTAGCTGTGTGTAGGCCCCAGTCAGTTTCCACGGTCCTTCGTATTTCTTAAGATGTTGTCCAGATCTCTTCCTGTGTTAGGCAGTCTCTCAGTTTACTTTCTTTCTTTCTCTCTCCCTTTTTTTGTTTTGTGTGTGAGAGGTGAAGTGTGGAGACAGGGTCTCTCTATGTAGCCCTGAATGTCCTGGGACTCTCTCTGGAGATTGGGCTGGCCCTGGCCTCACAGAGAAGAGATCCACTTGCCTCAGCCTCCTGAGTGCTGGGTTAGTGCACTACCAATCTCAGTTAACTTTCTATAGGCTTTCACCTCCAAAGTTGTTTCCTGCCTCTGGCTCACGCCTCCTGATCTCATCCTGCTTTCTCCTCTTTTCGTCCTTGAGTTCTTGCTGTGTAGCCCAGGCTGACCTTGGACTCTCAGTCCTCTGCTTCAGACTCCTGATCTCCACTGCACCTGCCATCCTCCTACTTTTCTATGCTTCTTCACATCATACGTACCACCCTTTTTCTCGCCTCGGTAATGGTAAAAGGAATCATTTTTCCTTCTCACTCTGCTGTGTGGCTAACGGGAGGCGGGACAACGCTATGTGCTGAGTAAGTTGTTGATAAGGTAGAATTCAGGAGGTGGAAGGTCAGCTTTCTGGTAACTATCCAGACCAGACTCAGAGTATTCTTAATTGCAAGATGCCCAGGATAGTCAAGTTGGTTTCTTTTCTCCTGTCTTCCCACTCTGAATTATCTGACAAGTGTTTTAGGACATGTTCAACAGTCTGATTCTACAGTACCTTAGGGATGCTAAACAAGACACCGTACTGGGAAACTAATTTTCTCTTTTTTAAAAAAATAAGAAAATAATAACAGGTAAACTCTAACCCAACTCAAAAATGTTTTAAGTTTGTACAGTTATCCATTATTTTATCTGCTCGGTTCATTATCCCTCACAGTCAAGGTGTAAATACTTTTGAAGTAGTTATTAAACATCTACAAATAAACATTCATATACACTCGGACACTATATATCTAGATAGATATATATGGCTAGACACCATTATCTCTCTAGATACTGTCCTTTTGTATCAAAAAAATTATACAGTGGGTTCTGAACCTTTTTGTATTGAACAAATCCTGGTGTTTATTCCTTTCAAGTAGATAGAATTTCTCTGTTTACAATCACCTAAAATGAAGTTGTATTGGTTTTCCGAGCTTTAGCTGTTCTCAGTGATTGATTGATGCCTGACTTTTTCTCCTTGCACACATGAGAATTGGAAGTGGGAAATCAAACTGCTCACTCTAGCTGCCCCATCTGGGACCATCAGCATGACGAGGAGGTGGCGGGTTGCCCCCGGGTGTTAGTCTTGTTTTACCTGCTCTAAGTAAGCCACACTCTCCTGCATTAGAGGTACCACTATTCTAATAGTCTTTCCGGATTATTTCTGAACAGTTTACAGGCTCCACTGACCATTGCTTCTATTGTCCTTTTAAAACATAGTATTTATTTACATTTTAAAAACTTTCTTTTGTTTTTGCCTTTTTTTAAACTAGATCCTTACAATAAATGAGGATGGATCACTTGGTTTGAAAACCCCCAAATCTCACGTTTGTGAGCACTGCAATGCTGCCTTTAGAACCAACTATCACTTACAGAGACATGTCTTCATTCATACAGGTATTGAATAAAAACGGGCTTGTGGCCATTAAGATTATTATCATTGTTATTTTCATCTTCGTATAAATGTCATCTAGTCTGAAGACCGGAGCTAACTTGACATTGTCAATCAGAGTTTGTAGCCAGACTGTCAGGAGGAAACCAAGAAAGACTTTAAATGAGAAGACAGTTAGCATGGATATATACATTTAATAATCTTAATTGGGTACTTACTTGGCTTAAAGCACTCTTTTTAACTAGCGAAACTGCTTAAGAATGTATTAAGAACCTGTCCCATTCATCTTTCTGTGCTAGGTGTATGACAGCACAGGCAATGTTTGGAAATCAGGTATTAGAAATGATAGCTAACAAAAGTAGAAGTTAAAAATCGTGAAATTGTTGAAAATAGAACTAAAGAGTGATTTCACACCTTTGGAAAAGCAAGCTAGAAATATTAGATGACTTGGGGCTGGGGGTAAAGGAGAGGGAGTAAGGAGGGAGAGTTGATGAACTAGGAAAATATGGTGAAGCCAAAGGAGAGAGGATGCGAGGAGGCTGAGGAAGTGCCAGCCCTCAGAGGCTGGAGCTGGCGGGGGAGTCTGGAGCAACACCCAGGAGGTCATCTCTGTAAGGGTCTAGCCACAGTGATGGAGGCATTGGAGGCTGGAGGCAGCCCCTGAAGGTGCCATGGCAGGGAGAGGAAGGTGTTCAGGAGCCCTGCAGCATGAAGCCAGGCTTCCCAGTGGAGCAGACCCCAGCATTCTGGATGAAGAGCACTCCAGCAGAGAGGGAGGGAGGGTTTCCAAGGAGGGGTTTCCTTCAGGGTGTTATGCAGTTCTGAACTCGCAAGAAAATAGGTAAAAGGGCAAGGAGAGATGGTCAGCCACAGAACAGGGTGGGCATGCCTTCAGATAAGGAAGAGGAGATACAGGACACGCTGGGTGGCCTGGAGAGTGCTTTATTGTGTGTCTTTCTCTTTTCCTTAGAAGGATGTCAATTAAATTTTTTCTGTGTGTGATTGTGAAAACGTGAGATTGTAAATCCTGGAGGAAATTGTTGAGGGAAAGTAGAACTGTTAATGAAAATGTTTTTTAAAATCATAAGGAGTTTTAGAATTTTCCAAAATTGGGGCTTCTAAGACTATATAGCTTCAGAAATAGTGACTTAAATGTTGTTTTATTCATTAACTAATGTATGGATGTCAAATTATTTTAAGGCGAAAAACCGTTTCAATGTAGTCAATGTGACATGCGTTTCATTCAGAAGTACCTGCTCCAGAGACACGAGAAGATCCATACCGGTGAGTGCTGCGTCCTCCCTAAGCTCCTGGGCAGCGGAACGGCTCGGCAGGCAGGCGGAGGGAGGGCAGGTGTCTAATAAGGCGCACGATCTTGCCCACTCTAGTCGTCCCTACTGGCTTAAAGCCATCAATCTCGGCTGTCCTTGTCTCTTCCTCAGTGTCCTGTCCCAGTGAATTACTTTGAAATAGTTCCACAATAACCTCAATTACGTGTGAGGAGGAAACTTTCCATGAAATAGCTGTTTCTTGAGCTAAGTAAAATGATCACTCACTGATTAGCTTGTGGCCTAAACACTAGAGCAGTAGCACCCTCCATGTCTCTCCTTTCTGTGGCTTACTGTAGCAAGAGAGACAACTCACTGCTGGTGACTATTTCATCAATGTTAATGATTTACAGACCAGTGTTTCAGAAGATCACCTTTTAGTATATATGATAACATTTTAAGTCCCATGTTAAAGCAAGTGTATTTTTTATTTTTTTAATGGAAGTAAAACCAAGTTTTATAAGTGACTTGATTTAGTAGACTCTTGACTTTTCTCCTTTGATATCCCTAAGCATTGTAAAAGATGGTTCTTTGAAATTGATTTATGATTTACAGTGTTTGGGGAACACACACACACACACACACACACACACACGCACACATACACACACACACACACACACACACAGAGAGACAGAGAGAGAGAGACTGTGTGTGAAAGAGAGAGCGTGCACAGCAAAGTTGGTACATCTGTAGAGTTTTTTTGGGTTTTGTATTTCAGTGGAATTGAGAACGGTGATGAAAAGGCACTAACGGTGAAAATATTAAATTCTCTCTAGTTCTCTGTATTACTACTCAGATGAGGACCTGCCCTGATGTTATTTCGATGTAGTTTCAGAGTAGGTGCAGCATTGGGGAAATGGGATCCTTGGGCACTCTGTCCAGTAGAAACAGCCTTTGTTGTCAGTCACTTCCTGCCTCTTTGTTGCCATCAGAAAGAGACCTGAAGGTGGCTGGTCTGTGACCCAGTGCCAGCTGTGCAGCATGTCTGTCTGCAGTTGCTTTCCTTTTGAGACAGGGTCTTGCTCTGTATCTGAGATGGCCTGGAACTCAAGTCTGTCCTTATGCCTCAGCCTCCTGAGTGCTGGTATTATCAGCATGAGCCACCATGCCTGGTTCAATGTTCTGCTCTTTCACATACCATTTTGTATATCACTAAATGAACATTTATCACTTTCACATATACAGTGGAAGAAAAAAATGTGCGGATTTTATGTGACTAAAAGTTAAGTTGAAATTTCAATGTAATTATAAAAACCATCCGATAAAAGATGAAAATAGTTAGACATTTTCATGTGTTTATTAGATTTTGATGATTTATTCATTCAACTGGTGATGGAGCCTCCAGTGTTTTTCAGGTCCTAAGAGTACACAGACTGTATGGAAGGGTCTTCTGTTTTCTTTTGTTTGGGAGATAAGAGACATATAAATAAGCATGATGTGATTAAGTGCTATAGGTTTCTTGAGAGTAACTACTCAGGGAAAGCCTCAAAAGCTGCTGAGGCTAAGTTAAAATCTGTGTGTGTGAATGGGTGGGTGAACAGGATCTGAAAAATGAGACCTATTGCTCATCCCTAGGTCAGTCTGTCATGCTCACTCTGTGAATCCTAACGCCCTGATCACAGTCTTGTAGCAGCTCTGTCCTAGTCTCATTCCTGAGAGAACAATGTAGGGAAAAGCGTTTATTCTAGGTCACAGTTGCAGGCTGCAGCCTGTCACAGGTGAGACAAGGCAGCAGAGAGTGAATGCATTCACGCTGGTCAGCACTCTCTCCCCTAGGAGCAAACCGAGGAATGGTGCTCCTCACTTTCAGGCTGGCTCTTATCGCAGCGGTCGGTGTAATTAGGAAAATCCCCACAGACAGGCTCACAGACCAGCCTGATCTAAACAATCCCTCATTGAGACTCTCTGCTCCAGTCATTCCGAAGTGCGTTACATTGGCTGGTAAAACGAAGTCCCGCTTACTGATTGAAGAAGACACCTGTACCAGGCTGTGGGCGCATTTGTGGTTGGAGGAGGAGGATGATGAGTTGATTGAGAAAGTACTGAATACCAGGTACTGTCATTTAGTCCTCGCAGGAGTTTTGAAAGGCAGGAGGTGTTCCTGTCCCTTTTGTCGGTCAGAATGTGTTGGGAAGTGGAGAGAAACCGAGGGCTTCCTTAGCTTTCTTTCTACAGTCTAGTGAATGATGTTGCCCGGACTCCAGCTCAGGCTGTCAAGAGAGACCAAGATGCAGTCACTAAGCAAAATGAGACAGGAAAGAGAAACACAGCTTGTGGCTTTTTTACGTTTTCTTCCTGTCACCCAACCAGTTAGGATTTAGCTTCTCTGTGTGTTAGTACCATCTAAAAGGAATGGAAAGCAAAGGGCAGAGTCGTCATCTTTAAAAAAACAGCTTAAAAGAACATAAAGACTCCAGAGGAATCACAGCAAGGCTGAGTCATTAGGATTCCTTCTCAGAGAAAAGTCTGTCTGTCTGTCTGTCTGTCTCCCCCTCCCAACCCATCCCCCCTCTCCCCTGTCTCCTGTGTGTGTGCTTACATGTATACATGTGTGTTATGGTACATACCTAGACGTTGCTTTCTTGCCTTTCGTCTTGTTTTTAGGCGGATCTCTCTTGATCTTCTGCCATTGTGCTTTGTATCCCAGGCTGTGGTTTCTACCTCCCATCTCGCAGGATTCCAGGTGTACACTGCTGCATCTGGTTTTTTATGTGGGTTTGGGTTGTCTGAACTCAGGACATCAGACTCACACTGCACTGAGCTGAGCCATCTCTCCAGCTCCACCAGTTTCTCCTGAAGAAAGGCTCTCCTTTGTCCCTTTGTCCTTCCCTTGTGCCCCATCACATTTCATATCAGAACTAATGAAAGCGAATCAACTTTCCTTCTTTAGTTAGTTTTTTTTTTTTTTTAAAGATTTATTTATTTATTATGTATACAGTATTCTGTCTGCATGTATGCCTGCAGGCCAGAAGAGGGCACCAGATCTCATTACAGATGGTTGTGAGCCACCATGTGGTTGCTGGGAATTGAACTCAGGACCTCTGGAAGAGCAGTTGGTGCTCTTAACTGCTGAGCCATCTCTCCAGCCCCCTTTAGTTAGTTTTCCATTCCTTTCGTAGATTTCTTTTCTTTTTTGTTTTTCTGAGACAGGGTTTCTCTGTGTAGTTTTGGTGCCTGTCCTGGATCTCACTCTGTAGACCAGGCTGGCCTTGAACTCACAGAGGTCTGCCTGGCTCTGCCTCCTGAGCGCTGGGATTAAAGGCGTGCGCCACCGCCGCCCGGCCTTGTAGATTGTTTTTAAAGACAGGAAAGGTGTTGGGGATTTAGCTCAGTGGTAGAGTGCTTGCCTAGCAAGCACAAGGCCCTGGGTTCGGTCCTCAGCTCTGGAAAAAAGAAAGAAAAGACAGGAAAATATTTTTATCTTGAAATCAGATTACCTATTTTGGAACACATATGAAGAATAGTCTCTGCTCTGATGTTCTGCTTTGCTTCCTGTGGCTGTGATAAACACCATGACCAAAAGCAACTTGGGGAGGAAGAGATTTATTTAACGTGACAGATTATAGGCCATCATTGAGGGAGGGTAGGCCAGTAACTAAGGCAGGAACCCAGAGTCAGGAACCGATGCAGACACCACAAAGGAATGATGTTTACTGGCTTGCTTCCTCTGCCTTGTTCAGCTCCCTTTCTTATACAGCTCACACCTACCTGCCCAAGGATGGCACACTGCTCACAGTGGGCTAGATCCTTCAGTCTCAGTCAGCAACGGAGGAAATGCCTACAGACGCGCCCACAGGCCAGTCTAATGAAGGCAGTTCCTCAAGTGAGAGTCCCTCTTACCAGTTATGTTTAGGTTTGTGTCAAGTTTACAAAACTACGACATATACTTATCTACTTTTCAATTCTTGAACAAGAAATGAGTTACCCAAGGTCAGGCAGGTGATGTGAGATTGCAGTGAAATGAGCTGTCAGTTTTTATTTGTTTCTGGAGATAGGGTTTCTCTGTGTAGCCCTGGCTGTCCTGGAACTCACTTTGTCCTTTGTAGACCAGGCTGGACTTGAGCTCAGATCCTCCTGCCTCGGCCTCCAAAGTGCTGGGACTTAAGGCGTGCGCCACCCAGCCTGGTTCCGAGCCGTCAGGTTTAAAGACTCCCATCTTCCCTACAGGCTTTTGCATCCTGGTAGACCTCATGATATGGTTTCCTCCTGTTCCCTCACCACCCACCCCATTCTCTGTTCCTTTGCAACATGAATAAAACTCATTACTGGCTTGGCTGATTTTACAAACAATACAGTATTTTCTGAGACTCTTAAAAGCCAAGAATATAGCTAGCTTTGGCTTTTCTATTTCAAACATTTTAACCTGCCCTGGACTGATTATCACTTAAGCCTATTCCTAATAGTGGGCTTGTCTGTTCAGCACTATCTTAGGGGAAAATACTTTGTCATCTAGAAGCTAATCCCAGAAATTTTGGTCCTTCTGGACTATAGCCCTGAGAACTCATGATACGAGTCCGCTTGGGACTCCCATTTCCAGCACTTCTGAGAGGCACATTTCTCTGGAGGAACAGTACAGGTCCTTTACTTTGTCTATGTTTTGGGAGTATGAGCAAGGAGGTGAGTGTCTGAGGCTGAGGGTGAAGACAGTGATTCCAGAACTCCTGCTTGGTGAGTGTCTGAGGCTGAGGGTGAAGACAGTGATTCCAGAACTCCTGCTTGGATATATGCTTCCACGACACTACCACTGTCCCTGTCCCTGGTGGGTTTACTTCTGAGCAGCTGCTTTTCCTTTGCCTTTCTCAAAGAATACATAGATAAGACAGAAAAGTGTATGACTGGCTGTGTGTGGTCTTCTCTAAGACAGTGCCAGTCTGTTGTTCACTGTGGGCACAGAAGGACTGAGGAGTAGGACTCTTAAGTAACAGTTTTTAATAGTTTTCTGAATTTCTTTAG